TAACCTCAAAGTCAAGTCACACAAGTACGTTTGCAACTTGGGCATGCAAGCTTCAGGTGGCCAGAGTCAAAGATCATCTTCAATGAAGGAGTCCATTTTGCTCTGCTTTCAGTCGCCCACACAGAGAACGAAGATTAGCCTTGCCCCTGCGCAAGTATGACATTCATTAAATTGGCCAATTAAAAAACAAAAAAAACAAAAACAAAAAAAAGAAAGAGATTTTGTACTTTGCCTAACCTCAAAGTCAGGTCAGACAAGTATGTTTGCAACTTAGGCATGCAAGCTGTTTGCAACTTAGGCATGCAAGCTTCAGGTGGCCAGAGTCAAAGATCATCTTCAATGAAGAAGTCCATTTTGCTCTGCTTTCAGTCGCCCACACCGACTCCATGTAGCAGCATCATTTCACTTCAATTTTTTTTTATTTTTTTTTGGTTGAAAAACAGAGCACTTATGCTTCTGGCTCCATTTCCATCTCTGGGCAGCATCGGTCCGGTTCCTTTTTATTTCAATTTCGTGCATAGAGAAGTAATCCCACTCATTCACCACATCAACACAGTTTCTGAGACCATCTTTCCGTCTAGGGCAGGCGCCGAAGTCTCCTTCTTACCAGCTGAAGACGGATTGCATCTTCGCCAACATCATCCCACGCCCCGAATTGTGTCCAGTCACTCCAGTGTTAAAAAGTTAAAAAACCTGCATGACAGACACGATGCCGGAGTTTCGGCTCACCTGCATCACAGCCAAAAGCCCAGACTAAAAGCCAAACAGGGAGGTGAGAAACATAGAGGAGTTGTCACTGCACTGCCATCAATTCAACAACATGCAACAAGAGAGTTATACTCGACACTCTCCGCAAGTCTACTCTCCGAAACAATAGAGCGGGTAAGGACAGGATGACCGCAACAAATGGGACTAAATACTAAATAGGCAGAATTAACCCACCACCACACTGCCCAGGCAAAAGAAAAAAAGTGTAAAATTGCAAATGCAACCATCCGAAACTTTCGGGGGCTCGGGGCTACCAGACCAAAACGGCCGGCAACCACCACTACGCGCCCCAGGCACAAAAAGAAAAGAGTGTAAATGCATACATCCAAAACTTCCGGGGACTCGAAGCTTGCAGACCAAAATGGTGGGGACCACCAGTCAAAAAGAAAAAGAAATTGCCCCCTTGCCGGTTCAATTTTTCTTTGGCAGGCAGCATCGGTGATAACAGCCTCGGACATAGTCATGGTTTAACAGGATGATGGGAAAGACGGGTATGAAGATGGGGTAGAGAGGTTTAGAGGGTTTTAGAAGGGGGTTAGAGAGAGAGAGAGAGAGCTAGAGAGAGAGAGAGAGAGAGAGAGAGAGAGAGAGAGAGAGAGAGAGAGAGAGAGAGAGAGAGAGAGAGAGAGGTTGAAGAGCAGGAATGGAGAAGGATGAGAAAACCGATCAGGCAAATAAAGCTTAACTAACATAACCATGCTTGAAGGGCTTAAAGGGCTTAAAGAGCTTAAACCACCAGTACATGGCCCCAGGCAACTGGAGAACCTGTTTTGAGCCTCTCCGAAAATTTAGGAGGCCGAGCGCCACGGATAAAATGAATCGGCGGCGGGCGGCCTCGGAAAGGGGCCCCCGGCCGAGAGCTGGCATGTACTGGTGCTTTAAAGAGAAAAGGTCGTAACTTGGCAGGCAAGCCATGCGCAATTTGACAATGATCACAGCCAGAGAATCCTGTAATTCTGTGCAGCAGCGCTTCCACCCGAAAGTTGCGTCCTCGTTCCCTACCACACAGGTCCTCTCACATTTTTCAGGATATCCAATGGATGGAATTTCAACACCAGCCGCGTGCGATGATGTGGATCAGTTCTAATCCAACTTAACTCGACTCTAACAGCGCACAGAACTGGCTGATCTCGCAAAAAACATGAGGAACTGAAATGCATTGCCAAAAGAAAAGGAAGTGAAAATGAGACAGTCAGTCACCAAAGGCCTCGAGAGTGATGAAACGATGGAAAAGAGTCTTAAACGTACAAGAGAGCAAAACAACAACGACAGGGACGTTGTAGAGAGTGAGAGGCGGAGAGACGGATCGAGTAGACCCCAGCACAGGCAGTACCAAGAAGCGGGAGGGAGAGAGAGAGGGAGGGAGGAAGACAGGTGGCAGAGAGATGCAGACAGAAACAGGGAGGGAGGAAGACAGGTGGCAGAGAGACGCAGACAGAGAGCAAGAGAGAGAGAGGGAGGGAGGCAGACAGGTGGCAGAGAGACGCAGACAGAGATAG